CTTTATTCAAGCTATTTTACACTAAGCACGAGTGCGTTCACCTGTCATAAACTATACAATGACAACCTTCGTGAAAATATTATTTTCTTTAACGTACACGAGAAATCGACAGTTCACAGGTGAATGTTTGGTCGGCGGAGAAATCGTTCCCCCTAGACGTGTCTAACGACCCATTTCACCCGGTCGTCTCCGCGAATAACCCGTGTATAATATGATCCTTTATCAATAGACGGCACGATTTCTGTTACGTTAATTTCGTATTCGGAATAGTGCTTTAGGAGTTATAACTTATAACTAAGGACCGGATATTGCAACTTATTTGTATCATCAAATAATTCGAATCTTATCAAATATTTACTCGATTTATATTAATTACAGTTTTTCTATGTAATTTTATGTTGCAATTTATTGCAATTTTTAATGTTTTTGCAATTTTTTGTAATTTTGTATATTTTACTTAATTAAATGTACAAATCAATATTTTCTTGGCTAAATCTATAATATAAAAATAATAACATTATTGTGGATTTTCATTATTGGTTAGATTGTACGATCTAAGAAGTATAAAGGTGTAATATAAGTATAGATATACTCGACGATATAGACTTCTATGGGTCATTTAATGGTATCGATAACAATAATTTATAAGCCATTACTATTAGTTTTTAAAATAGTCTGTATATGAAAAAGACAATTATAGAATTGTTAGTACCAGTTACTTTCATGTAATCGTACTAGCTTGTTCTTATATTTTCATGTAACTATAACTATCATGCCTAAAGTAAAATCAAATTTAAGAAATAAAATATCGTCCTGGTTCTGAATTGCTCCGTATAACAAACCTAAAGAAATTGTTTCTACAGATGGTAAAATTATTTATTGTTTTTTTGTGTGACAAAATTGTTTCATAAGAAAAAAATATTTTTTAGATCATCATTCATTGCATTTTATACTCATGTCCTATTATATAAATGTATTTAAATTAGGACTTTAAATTGTAATACATAATTTCAGTTTTTCATAAAAATGTTTTGAAAAGGAATAATAATAAAAAGCAACTTCTTATGACGATTACATCTCAAAAATCGAGTACTTTTTTTTGAAAATTTATGTTATGCATTTGTCCTGAAATTACTCCTATGTATAAACTATGTAATCCAATGTTAAAACAGTTTTTGGAAAAATACATAAAACAAATAATTCCAAATGAAAGCACTCTAAGAAAAAATTATATTTCAAATATTTAAGAAAATAATTAACAATATAGGATTGTAAATAAAACCACCAATCCAAGAGATTAGTGTAAAATAATTTTATATTTCTTTTTAAATTAATTTATGTAAAAAATTACAGAAAAGTTTAAGTAAAAATTATTATTTAAGTTTGAGTATTACTAATTTATTAATTGGTAAATTAAATGGAAATCCAGGAAAATCATTTTTCATTTCAAGTAAAAAACTAGTGGGTATCAATTATGAAACTATCTATCAATTTATAAATTCTTCTTTAAAAATATTTCCGATATCGAATATCGAACAAAGAGTATTACTTTTTGTAAGTGATGCTGGTACTTATATGGTGAAAACAGCGAAAAATTTAAAAATATTTTATCCAACATTAATTCATATCACGTATTTGCGCATGCAGTTAACAGAGTATTAGAAAAAATTTGCGAATTATATCCAGTCATTAATAAATTAATTAACAATGGTATTAATTTATAAATATTTACAATTTTAAAATTTAATCTGTTTATTTTATTTATTTTATGATAAAAAACCATCTTAAAAACTCCATCTAGAATCAACAAATTAATTCCGGATTTACTTTTACCTCCTGAACCTGTTATTATCATATGGGGGACTTTGTTAAATGCTGCAATGTCGTATGCAGATAATTTTAAATTTTGTAGAGAATTTAGACGATAATGCTATTAGTGTTGATAAATTAAAATCATTAGTAAATAATAATCTAGTAAAATGTGGTTTGACATTTTTAAAGTTACATTTAACCGAGTTAATCATAAAGCTAACAAATTTAGAAAAATCATACAGCCAATTACTCAATAGTTTAACTATATTTAGTGAGATTGAAAATAAATTAATAAATATTCTCGATTCTTAAAGAAAAATAATAAATGATAAATTTACTTATATATTAGACAAAAATTATGGATTTAAAACAGTTAAAACTTACTTTGAGGTAATAGCAGGTAATTTAAATGTTAATTTAGATACAAACATAACACCATCTCTTTTGAATTGTTTTAAATATGCACCAATAACCAATTTAGATGCTGAAAGATAATTTTCTTTTTATGAATATATTTTAAACAACTGACGATATAATTTTAAGGAACTCAATTTAGAAATGTACATAATTATAAATTTTAATTCAAAAAAATAATATATTTTAATTGTTGGATACTTTCAAAACTTTTTTATTTTATAATTTATAAATGTTTGTCATGTTAATTTGTAAGAAAAAAAATAATAATTATACATTTTTTAATATTTTAAGGATACATTTTTTGATGTACTTTTTTTAAAGCAATTATATGATTGTATGATGTAATTATTGTATTATTTTCATTGCTATTTTGACATATTTTTAATGCAATTAAATCCGGTCTTTAGTAATAACTCACCTTTTTGAATGTCATTTAATCTGCTCTAAAAATATACCAAACATGGTGGAAAACGAAAAAAGTTTGAATGATCACTGACTATAATAATGAATATTTTTGTATGTAATAACTAATATTTAAAAAGGCGTTTTTTCCAGATCTAGTTTCAATCAAAACTTTCATCATGTTCATATTTCACTTGATACAAAAATAAAAAGAAAAGTTTGACTCTATACTTTTTTAAATTATAATTGTTTTTAATTCATTTAAAGTTTCATTTTCAAAAAAACTTGTATCATATTTTAAACTCTATTTTCGTACTCAACTCAATACAGAAAATCAAAAATTTGGTTTTTATGATAAGATAATTTATTATATTCAATGGCTTTTTAAATAAGTACTATTTCTAATTTGACTCTTGAACGTTTTAACTAAAACGTGCATCGATTACCAACAATGTTAATTTCAACTTAGTGTAATTATAATATTATATTCAGTATTTATTTGAAGAAATACCATATTAAAAACTGTGAACAAATACTATGTTAATTAAAATGCAACTCGTTTAAAAACTATGTATTTAAAAAGTATGATAAATTAGCACATTATTTTTCAAATTTCTTCTATATAATCAATATGGCACGAAAAAAAAAAATTATCATATAGGTAGAACAATAAATTTAATTTACATAATCACACGCATATTATAATGACAATACTTTACACGTAGGAATTTAGTATTATATAATATTTTGTTTAAATATATAAAATAAATAAAATTACGTATCTAACCTAATCTAACAAGGTGTAACTTTTTAGTTTTTTTTTTTTAATTTGAACTCGACTGATCACAGATTAAAGTTCAAAATTAAAAATAAAGTGTGAAATATTATTTGTTAGTTTTTTGTATAAACAATATTGTTACATTTAGAAAGAAAAGAAAATCCCATTTAACCTAACTGTGGAAATGTGATTTTCAGTATTATTATTCATTAATCTCCATTAACAAGTAATAATTACCATCGTCGCGTATAATATAAACATAGGTATAATATTTTATTCAATCTTTGAGTGTACATGGTTTAATTAACTATAAATTAAAAATATACCTCCAGTCTATATAGTAAAACTATAAAATTACCTATAAAAAATTTGTTGTTACTTGTAGATTCTATGCAAAGCGGTAAATGTATAACAATAATGTGTATATTTTTATGTATGTACTTGTATACACAATAATAAATCAAAAAATTGTTCGATTTTAAATTTTGATAGAGGTTTTAGATAGAAAATTGAATTATTTTATATACATAATAAAATTTTCAAGAATATTTTTTAGAGCTATTTATTTATTAATTGAAAATACTTAGAAATTCAATACAAAATAATATCATATGAGTTATTTTAATAAATACGTAAAAAATTTAAAATCCATAAGCGCAATTTATTTTTATATGAATTTAAAGTTAAGATGTTGACAAAATACATCAGTATCTTAAAATTCGCTATTTTTATAGCTAATTCTTGACAGTTTAATTCAAAGTTCCTTAAGCGTAGTTTATGTATCGTACTAATACCATAAAAGCTAAAAAAATATATAAGTGACATTTTTTTATAGATGTTTTAAGTTCATACTTGAACGAAATTACATATTTAAGCATTTTAATGTAAAAACATGTATTCGTGGAAACATAATTTATCTATTACATATATTATTACTTTTCACATAGGTACACAATGCTATTTTAAAATGTAATGTTTTTAGAAAAAAAATTTACTGTATGACTAATAGTGAATTAATTTACTTTAATTTACTTAACTTAATAGCAATATTAAAAAACATAGCATGAAATATACTTGGTGATATACGCTGATAGACTGTCTCAGCTTAGAAACGTTTTTCGTATTCAATTATACTTTGTTTAATGTTCAAGCTAAGAAACATATTCAACTAACGATAAATGCTCAGGTGCATGACTAAACTACACGGCAGACACGGTGACTTAGTGGGAATGACAAATGGGTATTGCATATTTGCACAATAATTGCCTGACACCCGCGACTTGACAAAAACTGGTCGCTTCTAATTATGTTTCTTATCTTGAACAGGCTATATTGGTATATCATTTTATTAAAACTTAACTTATATATATTTATTAATTTCATATTATTATTTTTTACACAAAAAAATTCTTAATACAAAGTTATAACTTACAGTGTTGAGTCGTGTATAATTTTTGACTATGTTCAATAGTTTTATATTGTATATTTAATGTTTTGAATAGTTTATTTTTTTTTTTTTTTTTTGATTTTCACTCCCTGTAGTTATTGGCTTATTAATAACCGTATTTTACTTATATTTAATATTTTTCAGGCTTTTCACTTATGTCATTACAATGGATTCAAAGAAACATTTATATGTCCACAAGGAACTAGATATGATACGTCCGTACAGGAATGTAGATTATGGTACACGACTCACTGTTTAGACACACGCAGACCATTTAATTAGGTCTATATTATGTTTGAAATAATTATCAACATTTTTATCATAGTAGGTTTTGAAATTTTGTTTACCATATTTAAGTAATTATTGTGTCTTTTAATAATATTAATAACATTTAATAATGCAAATAAATATTATTAGAATAAAATATATCGCCGATCAAATAACTTTATAAATCCATATTATATTTGAGACTTTTTTCATATTCTTAATATACATATTAAGTTTTAATACATTTTTAAACATAATTATTTTATATTATATGTTTTTAAAGATTTCTCAATAGGTTAGGTTTTTTCAATATCAACCGTTTTGTAAATATGACTTGACGCTTATTATACCTAATTTGTATAAATATATGTACAAAATACATTTAAAAATATGTGTAGCTACGTAGTAAATTAAATACAATTGTATAAGCATAAGTGTGTTTTTAAGTTTGTGATTTTTTTATAACTATTAATTTATATTTTTTTCTTTAATTTATTTTGTTAATTATTTTTTTAAGAACCTTATTTAAATAATTTTAATTTAAAACAAAATCATAATCGTAATTTCTCGATTTTTTACATATACATTAAGATATTTAAAATTAAAATAAATTTATAAGAATAAACTATTTATTAAAAGTAGTATATTTTTTTAAAATTTTTTTTTTTTACAAATTTTAGCTCCCAAATATTAAGATTTCATTGCATTCATATTTTTTTTAAAGTTATAGTTAATTTTATCAAATGATAAAGATATAAATCTAAAATATTTAAAAATTGCTCTCTTTTCATAGTAAGATTGGATTTGTATTAAAAATGATTATCATATGATTATGTCAACCAGTATTTAAAAAAAATAAAATGACCATTATTTAAATTCTCATGTTGCCATAACTATTTCAAACATTTTCAAATAACGATCACAGCATTAAATCCATTATGTTATATATTTTTTTGTATTTTTTGTATTTTTTTTTTTTATATGTATACGCAAGTGATCAAGTATAAAATACCTTTATTATTTTGTTGTAAAACTTTGTTATAGACTTTACTAAATTAATTAGTATATTACTAGTGTAATATAATGTAAATTTAACACTTAGTACTATTACCTACTAAATAAACATATGATTTTGTTAAATACAATTAGTATTATTATTTATTATTATAAAAAAATAATTTAAAAAAATACTGTATTTTCATGTTTTTATTTTTTATTTTATTATAAAGACATTGTGTTAATAATAAAAATTCAATTTTATAGCAGCTAAAAATAACTTATGTCAATAGACTTATTTATAACTTTTTAACGTGTTTAAGCACTTTATCTTATAAACAACTCTATTTCTTTTCAAAAGCTAAGCAACAAATATTACGAAACAATGGACCGTTTATTTATGATTAAATAAATAAAACGTTGTTGTTGTTAGTAATCTCGTTATATAAATCATCAATTTAATAATGTACATAATATAATGACAAGTATCTACGATTATTTTTTTATTGTTAATTTTTTTGAATTACAACAAAATTACTAAAATCATTAATTGAAAAACTGATTTCTTTTCCTCTATATTGTTTATTAAAATTTAATTTTTAAATTGTGTTTACACGTTTTTGGTAATTTATGAGAGACTTTGTATTATATTTTCAAGAGCTTTAACTGAAAAACAAAAAATTAATCAATATTAATTGAAAAAAAAAAAAAACTAAAAATTTCAAAATTTTAAATCGTTATTAACACGTTGACCGCCACGGGGTTTTCACCATGTTACTTATTTTTGCTATGAGATCTAATTAGAAATCTCAACAAATTACTAAAAGTTGGTAGTGAGATCTTATATGAAATCTCACATATAGGAATTTCCCGTCAATAAGATATCGTTCTAGGTCTCAATAATCAGTACTTTATCAACGGATTCTAAATCTACAGTGTTGCCACTTTCAGCTGGTGTTTGTAGCTCGCCAATAGCATTTTTAGTTTTTTTTTTATCAATATTTTAAAATCAGTGATAATGTCTTGTTTGATATTGTTCTAACTGATTATTCACCTTATGAAAAATAAATGTTAATACGCGTTTTTAACTTTAAGTTAACAGTTAACGATTATGTTACGTTTTTTGTAATTTGTTATTAAACTGACATACATAATTACTGAATTATGAATTCTAAAAGTATAAGCGAGATGCTAGAATCATCTTTTGATTATAGTTCTGTTGACGACTCTGATGATGATCCCGATTGGGATAATAATGTTGAAGTCATGTCTACAAGTAAGTTATTTTACCTACAATATAATGATTTTACGTTGATCAAAGTTACATATTATAATTTTTAAATGTATTGAATTTAATAGGTACTACTTCTAGTACACAAAATAATGGCAGACATGTGAATATAGTGGCATCAGATGGTATTTTAATATTTTTTTTTATAATATTTATTATTCAGTTATTCATATTAATTATTCATTTGTATTTTATAATTTTAAAAGTTGAATTATCCGGAGTCAGTGAAATTCACAGTGATGGAAATGATCCAGATTTTGGTAATGAATTATTAATATTCGTGTTATTGTAAGAAAAAAAAATGTTTAATTAAATTTTTTATTTAGACATGGTATCTCATATAAGTGCATCAACTGATGGTGATTTTACACCAATTGCTCGTGGACAAGGAAGCCCAAGTATTCATACTAATGATCGTCAGTGGAGAGTTGATGATAATGTTGTTGATGATTTTATGTTCAACCCTGATATTGCAAACTCAGGTATAAATCCTGACTTATTTGATGTACTAATGCACGGCTCACCTCTCGATTTTTATATGCTTATAGTAGATAATAAACTTATACATAATATAGTAATCGAAACAAATAAATTTGCTGCACAACAAAAAGAAACTAAAATAACATCACCTTTTGCACGCTTAAATAAATGGTATGATACAAATGTAACAGAGATTAAACAATTGTTTGGCATTTTAATTTGGACTGGCTTAGTTGCATTACCATCATATGAACTTTATTGGAGTTCTTCTAATATATTTTGTACAAATTTTGGACTTATAATGAGCAGAAATCGGTTTGAAATCTTAATGCAAATGCTTCATTTCTCAGACAATACAACTGCTGATACAACAAATCGCTTGTATAAACTTGGCTCAGTAATTGATGATATAATGTTTAATTCTAACCACTGCATGCAACCGCAAAACGATATATGTATAGATGAATCACTAGTAAAATTTATGGGGAGACTTGCATTTAAGCAATATATAAAAAACAAACGAGATAGATTTGGTGTAAAAGAGTTTAAGCTGTGTATTCCTCCATGCTACACAATTGCCATAAAAATATATGCTGGTAAAGAGGCTAGCGCTGAAAGTAGTGTTGGGACAAAAATTGTGATGGAATTAGGAGAACCTTTTTTGGATTGTGGAAGGACATTATACGTAGATAACTGGTATTCTAGTGTTGAGTTAGCTGAACAGTTAAAAACCAGACAAACTCATCTTGTAGGAACTATTAGGTCGAATAGAAAGTCTAATCCTAAAGATGTAGTCCAAAAAAAGTTAAAAAAAGGAGAAATAGTTTCAAAGAGAAGTGACACAAATGTTTTGATTTTAAAGTGGAAAGATAAAAGGGATTTGTATATGATATCAACGAAACATACCAGTGAAGTTGTAGAAAATAATGTAAGAGGTAAAATTGTTAAAAAACCTAAAGTAGTAATAGACTACAATACTGGAAAAACGCCCATTGATCTTTCTGATCAAATGTGTTCCTATTCGAACCCTCTTAGGCGTAGCACTAAGTGGTATAGAAAGGTAGCTCTAGATGCGCTTTTAAACATAGCTGTTGTTAATTCTATGGTTTTATTCAACAGAGTTACATCATCGAAAATGTCAATCACGGCTTTCCGTACTTCACTCGTCGAACAATTAATTAAAAAAAAAACTGTTGATGTTGACAACTCTTTGCAAACAATAAAACACCAATTAGAAGTCGTTGGCAAAAGCAGGTGTTATATATGCTATTCAATTATGTCACAGAGTAAAGGAAGAAATTATGCTCAATCACATAGTACAAAAGTACAAACTAAATGTTTAGCGTGTAACAAGTATTACTGTCTTAAGTGTTTTTTCAAAGATCATAAAATCACAAAGTAATTGACAGAAAAACACAATACAAAAGGTTTATAAATTTTTCTGTGATTTTGATCTAATTATTTTTTATTATGTTTTAAAATAAAAAGTTAAAAGTTTTGTTTTTCATATAACTATATTGTTATCATATAAATGTTTTGTTATAATTATGCAATTTATATGAATAAAGGCAACATAAATTAAATGCACATTGTTTTTATATAATTCCTTTATAACTCAAATAATGTATTTGATGCAATAAATAAATACCTATTTCAGATTTAAGTTTAGTTGAGTAGATTTAACCTCAATTGAAGTACTTATTCAAAGTGAGATTTAGATTGAGATCTCACGGTAATGGTCAAAACATTAATTTTTATAGTAGTGACATCCTACGGCCATGAGATTTAATTTGAGATCTCAGTTTATAATTAAGTTAAACCAAAAGGAACATTTAAACAGAACAATTTTAAATATAGGTACAAATTTTGAATGAAATCAGACAATTTTTTTTCCTTAAATTTTTTTTAGTAAACCTACAAAACCAGCTGTGGCGGTCAGGACAATTTTGATGAGATCTCATATAAGATCTCATGGCGGTCAACGTGTTAATAATTCATTAAGAGCAAGAGTATTTTTATAACAGATTTACAGTAATAATATCAAGATATATTATTTATGATCGAATAAGAGTGTATATCATATATATATATATATATATTAAAACTTTTTCTGATGAATACAAATTTATTAATAGAGTCATTATATAATCTATACTTATATATATATATATTATTTATTATTATATTATATTTTATAAATATAATATTATAAAGCTGAAGAGTTTGTTTGCTTGTTTGTTTTAACGCACTAATCTGAGGAACTACTGATTCAAATTATAAAATATTTTTGTGTTGGATAGTCCATTTGTCGAGGAAAGCTTTAAGTTGTATAATATTATGCTGCGACCAATAAGAGCGAAGCATCAGTGAAACATGTGTTGCAAAAACGAGGAACATAAATAATAATAATAATCTGTAGTATCAAATAATAATAATTATATCGTAGAAAAATGGGTATCAAATTAAATATGTAATAAACGATATGTAAAAATATGAATATTACCATAGATATAAAAATTAGTACAACAACCAAAAAATCTCAAAATCCCGTTGGCACTTTTAATGGGCAACGAAATGCACAGGATCAGCTTGTTCTAACATAAAATTGCAAAAGTGCTATACTATAACAGTTTGCAATATATTATAAATACCACCTTAAAACAACACGATTATTTTTCTTATTAAGTACTTAGAATTGTATTCATTAGTATAAAATTAAAATAGTTTATTTTAGTATACATATTTCTTTACTGTAAACGATTAATTATCATTTATTTTTATGTACCTAAGTAACTTAATATTTCATTGTTAAAATTGAAAAACATGTCTAATTTTTATAATTTACTATTAAATTTCATCAATATTTTATTTTTATGAGCAAAACTTTTTAACTAACATTAATATTTTAATGTTGAGTTTAAAAAAAATTGCACAAATATAAGTTTTTTTTTTTTTTTGTAAAATTTACTAATTAGGTATTTGTTATTATTCTCGGCACACACGTTCATAAAAAAACAACATTTAACTTACAAAATCAAAGATAAAATATAATGAAATATTATAATATAATCTTACAATAGTTATATTCTATTTACAAAACACAATATACACACACGATGTGATGTAATTAATTAATATACAGTATTTATAATTAAAAAAAAAAATTTAGGTGAAACACGTCATAATTTACTATTGTTTAAAATATTGTTCGATGAAAAAAATATACAAAAAAACAAATTAAACGATTGATTACGAAAACAATTTTTAATTTACAGTTAATTTAATGCGTAATAATAAAATTTTATTAAATATTAATAATAATCCTATCATGTCGAATCAAGGTGGGGGTAATAGGCCTGCGTTTTTTAGGATGAGAAAGATTTTCTCTCTAGGGATCTTTTCCGTTTCTCTATTGACAGCGTGTTGCTCGCCAGGGCCAAACCAACTATTCTGAGCCAAATTTTCTGCTATCTTCGGGTTCTTGTAAAATGCATTTTGCATGTGCGGGGGCAACAAAGCATCCCTTTGAAATGCGGCTACTACAATAGGATTGGTTGGCTTGTTGATAGAGTTTATCTGTAAGAATAAACAACATTTTTGGTTTTTAAATTTTATCTATTATTATAAGTAATTATTACTATTTTACAGAATATAAATTGTAATAAACTACGTTATCCAATATAATGTTCATACAAGATTTATCACATATTATTATAATTATTATTAGTTTATACTGCTTATAGTACTTATACCTATGCTTATGAAAGAAATGCGCTAACTGATCTGTAAATTAAAAAGATCCAATTCCTGTCTATGAAAAAAAAATTAGATTGGAATCAATCCCATTTAGGTTAAGTTTACGATTATAAGCAATGTTAAAATGTATTGCCTTTTGAGACTTTCTTCTGTTTAATGTTCCTTGCTTAGTATTTCAAATTAATTCTTATAAATTATGAAAAAATATTTTGCATATTTTGTGCTTTTTAAGTGTATATTTTAAACTTTTTAAGCGCATATTTAACAATTCAAAATGTATATAAATCTAGTATTTAACCATAATAATTAAATAGTATTGCGATATGACATAATATAGTATCTAAATCAATATTACATTTATAATTATTTCGCTTATTTAAAAGTATGTTAAAAATAGGCAAAATTACACAATAAGAACTAATAAATTTCCTTAAGCAATATGCTGGATTTAAGTGATAAGACTACTTAAAAAGCATATACGTATTACGTGTAGTTATAATATGTGTTAATAAGTGTGAATGTCTACATGCAGTACGAGTATAATGAATAATAATTGTTCGCCCTCCTCACCCACTAAAAAATAATGCTCTTACCAAGCAATTATAGTAGATAAATTTAATATAATTAAATATATCCAGACAAATTTACTCTTAAGAATATGAAATAATGCATATTGATTAATTCTGGTTTACTTTTGGTTTACTCATTATTTAGGATGAATCTAAACCAAAATAATTTTGATAGTCTGGCAATTTTATTTAATAACAATGTAAGCTTCAGGAGGTCACTTAAATTATTAATAAAATATTTAACAAATTAAAACATATTTAAAAGCTATTTCAAATGTTGTATTTTTATCAATTAATTGATATGATTATAAATTATAATATATAATTTATAATACTATTTATATATTATGCATTGCGTTAATTGAGTAATGTGGATTGTGTGTTTCTATAATTTAATATAATATGGGTGTTTTTAATTCGATTAATTTATGTCACCCAAAGATTCAAAAGAGTGTACGTTATTTGCACCAAAAAAAATGTAAGTATACGCTGTAATCTGTGTCACGTCCAAAAATCAATATAGGTAATCTCCACCACTACCAATAACGAATTATACTATAAAACTTGTACTTCATTTTATTTTAAAAAATTATTTATATTGTAATATATGACTACTATTTATAAATATATAACAATTTATTTATAGATGATACAATATACCTATTATTGTATTAAATAAAAATTAGTCTAAGTTACCATTTTAGAAGTCAATAAATTATGTAAAATACATATATGTTATAACCTAATCGTATATTTAAAGCATTTTTTTCACTTAACGGTTCATTTGTGATTTTTATTTTACCTATATAAATATTAAAATTATCTTTTTGAATTTTCTTCATTTTAGTCCAAGGAAACTATGCATATTAACGTATTTTCGTTGTTAACCTCTGACACGGTCATCAAAATCCAAGTATATAATATACTTTAACGACAAGTAACCATGAACTAAAAATTAAATAGGTGAACAAATAATAGAAATAGAAATCTTGATTTCAATTCTATATTGAATTATTATTAAAAATTAATATTGTGAAGCAAATCTTTTACTATAGAAAAAGAAAGTTTTTTTAAATACATTAGATTATAAATTTAAAATCACAAAATATAAAATGTAGGTAATCAGTAATGTTGTTTTAGTATTTTTAATATTATATAATAACTGTGATTAATTAAGCTTAAAAATTAAAAAAATATATTATGTATCATTTTTTTAACATTATTTATAAAAAAAATTAAATACTCAATTAAAACTAAAAATATTTTAGTATAGCAATATTATAAATAAATTGAATGTTTTTATTTTTTTTTATATATATAATTTTCAGTGATATTTATAATTTATTTTAATTTATAGATATACTTTTCCAAATAAAACAGCTTTAAAGAAACACTTACAGAATCCAAATTTTCATAACTGAAAATATAATGCGAATTATCAGTTTCTCAGTTTCTGTGAATAGTATATGTGTATTGTATATTAAATATTGATAAGCGTTGTATTACTTCAATACTTGTATTCATTACATCTGTAATTTGTAGATATATTTCATAATTTATGATATAGTGCCACATAAAACTTAAAAATCTCTCTCTTTTTTTTAATGTTTACTAATTGTTTTTTGTACTGCAACTAAACGAATCATGTAAAAATAATTTATGTTGTTAATAAATAGCGGTTAAATATTTAATACTCGTAGATAATGAATAATTATGAATATATTATTGTATGTTACGGTACATATTAATAACATAAGAATCAACCAACATTATCCGAAAAGCGAACGGTGGTTAGGGTATACTTTAGTTAAATCCTATAAGTATAAATATTTATCGTACGGACTTACTGAAGGATTTATGGCGTTGTTTTGTGGTGGTGCTACAAAACCCTGTTGGATGGGTGGCACTAGAGATAACGGCAATTGTTGAGGGCGTGCCGACGTATATGCCACGATTGTAAACACCAAGAAAAGAAGTTTGATATACATGTTACGATGTATAGTTTTTGAGCGTCTGCGAATCAGAAAAATATACATAAAAACGTGGAGTAGGTATATTTAATGATAATATTGAGTCGTCTTGTGCAAGCACCACAAAGATGGCGGTTGCCAAACGTCAGTATTTATTATAAGGGAGTTAATCGTTCTGTGGATTATTTTATAGTCGGAAATCTCCCAGCGCACTTCCTGTGGAGTGAGGGTTTATCAGAAATCTGGGCGGCGAGAGTCTAAAGAGGTGACCTTTCCTACAGTATCCGGTATATACATTCTTGACTCCGGAGAATATCTACTTATTAACGACAATATTCTAAGAGGCTGATCATTGAATGAAAAAATAATATAAACGGACAAACAGTTAAATCTCAACAAGGAAATTATTATAAAAAAAAAAAAAAAAAACACTGACCTCAAGTAATTAGATTTTTTCACCTCCGTAATAACATCGAAATGACGATGTTCAAATGATTATATGTTTCATTAATTAATAGATATTCGTCGTTGCACAATATATGAATGTTAAGTGATAAATACTAAATTACTAAAGAATAATATTATATGGTCATCATAGTTTTTAAACCATCATTTCGCACGATTATCACAACAGAAAGAGTTCGTGTAACTCGTATCTCTAATTAAAAGACATCCGAATACCTACTACCAATAAATTGTAAGGTCGCATTTTGGTTTAATCTTAATACCGCATAGTTTCCGGTCAAGTTTCTGATAGCAGTTTGCGTATCTTATTCTCCAGGTATAGCAAATACTCAAAATGCCTACAATCCCGCATTTTCGTGCTACTGCACAACAATACATTTTTTTTTTTTTTTCATTATTTGTTATTAATTTAGTTTTTCATTAAATAAATTAAAAACTTGAATTATCATATACCGATTAATACAAAACTGTATTTAATTTATATCGAAAATGTATTACAAAAAGTCACGCGTTCTTCATCTGAAAATAATACCGTCGTCAGAACTTCAATATCTGCATTACACAGTCGTAAGTCGGATTACGTTATAATATTGGGTCATAGTCATATTTGAATTATTATTGTCCCAATATACCGTGGTAGTGATGATATTATGAATATTAAAATAGTTAAAAATGACAAATAACCACATTTGTGTTAAGTATTAATGGTTGAAATATGTGATGATAAGGACTTGAAAAGGTCACACATTTTCATTTCTACTTGACACACATAAATCATGTATTAAAATACGTCACCTAGTTTATAAAAAAAATGAGGGAGAAAAATCAATATTTTTATAAATGACAACGTAGTATGAATGAAAAACTAGAAACTATTAAAATAAAATAAAAATCATTATTTTATAATAACCAGGATTGTTGTGTGGTCTACTGGTACAGTTGTCTATTCGTACTCATCATGAACTATTTATATGGGTCGTGATTTAGATCAATACTTCTTATACATGGGTATTCGTAGCACATACTTAATATATTATTATTCATTTTTTTTTTAACGATTGTTCCAGAAAACCAGCTCGACTTTGCGCACGATTTGTAGCCTATTAATGTGTTGAGTAATACTAAATATTGTTTACTGTTATGTTATATACATTTTTTCTTCTGTGTGTCATGATTTGTTTTTTAGAAAGACAAGGCAATTTATATTTGGCCATAATATTCTATGATTATGTAAATCACTAGTCATAGAGTTATATCAATATAGATAGCAAATAACATGGAATGATATTATTCATCATTTATATTCGTTCACTGAAAGATTTTTATGCTAATAATTACTACATAATATCTATCCTCTATATCATGTTTATGGATTTTTTTTTTTTTTTTGTTAACGTATTTTACTCTATTTTTATACAAAAAAATTCTATAATGAATAATTTTATGCTTATTTGTGACTAATTTAAAAATAAAATTGTATATCGAATATTATAGTTAGGCATACCAAACAACTAAAATACAATCACAATTAAAAATCTTAACAATAAATTTTAAACTAAATAATTTTAATCTTAAATCTTGAATGCGCTTTATGGAATTAATAACTTCAAGCAAAAATATTATCTTAATATGCAGTGAACTATTATCTTGTTTTTTTTTATTAATACAATTAGAGAAATGACTTTTTTTTCAAGAATTAAATTTCATGATTAAAAAAAATGCAGAAGTTTAAACATTAGAACTTATAACATCAATAGGAATATTTCTTGTTCGCTTTACATAACTTATAAAGTTTTAAATTCATTTTACTTTTTATCTTGTATTATAAAACTACAAATAATTATTAATTATCATAAATTATAAACTACATTTAATAAAATAATTATACTTTAGTACCAATAAAGTCAATATTAATCATTTTAAGTTAAAGATGTATTACCTAATAAACAGAGTATGAGCAATTTATTAATATAAAATCGTTAAAAGTCGTAAATTATCAAATGACAAACTTCCATTTGATTTGTAAATTAATAATGGTAATCACCTATCTTAAAGATAACAATAACTTTTGTAATTTACTTCTTTTGATTATATTTATTAAAAGCAAACTATTATTTATTTTCGAATTGATGTCAATCGTTTATAATATGGTAGATAAAAGGTAATTTTTGACTTCTAGGCTGCGGATAAATAATTTGTATTATCAATCACCTTATACTCAGTGCTCACTTATTACAAGGGTAGCAAGTTTCTAATATCTATAGCCGCAAAAAAGTTAAATCTACCCCTTATGATCATATTACATAAATAATTAATTGCACTAGTTTTAGCATACATTATTATTATTATATAAATTATTATGATTTATAATGAATCCATGTGAATATTGATTTATGGTAGTTATTCATTAGTGTTTACTAATATATAAAATGTTTTTCTGATTGAATTGAACCAAAAAAGAAAGTAGGTAATCACTCATAGACATGCATCGGTTCATCTTAAGCTTCCTGTTAGACAACTGGTTTTTTAGTCTCATATATAAAGATTTGGATTCTTCGACTTAATAAAAATGATTACCCGTGGGCATATTTCAGCAATTACATGTATTTTTACGTAACTACTTACACAAAAAAAAAAAAAAAAAACATTAGTATTATAAAATCATATGAAATACAATTTTAAATAGTCTAAATAGTTCAATGTTAAATTAAATAACATATGTTAAAACTAAAATAATTAAATTTAAATTTAGTTAATTAAAAATTTTTTTTTTAAATAAGTATAGATACCTACTATTTATTTTTTTTTAATTTGAAAAATAAATACATTTTATTTATGAATTGATTTACACATTAGAAACGTATTGTTTTTATTTTTATGATTTTATATAACATATAAGTAATACACAGATAAAAAAAAAACAAAACACAGAGAATTTACTCTGTGGTATTTTAGAGACTTCATCATTAAGTTAGTTAAAAAAAACCAGTAAAATATGAATTATATTTGAATTCAATTAAAAATTATCAAATTGTCAAGAAAAATGATTTAAAAATGAAAGGGGACCTATTTATTTCTTAAAATTTCTAATGTGTTATTTATATATAATACTATAATTAATTAATTTTTTTATTAGTAATAGTTTTAAAATAAATTTTTTTCCTAAAAATATCGCATACCTGTTATCATACATTATTAATTCTTGTAATATTATATACGTACATAAAATATAATTTATATTAGTTAATACTAACGTAATGTAGAATGAGTTTATTATAAATGGAATACGAAATTGTAAAAATTTCATTGTGTGCATATTTTTATGATAATAAACTTAATAATGAGTAATTTAAAATCTCCACAATTAATCCTTTTTTTTAAATACAATAAAATAATAAAAATATGTTTGTGAAATTTTTTTTATTTTTCATTGAAATAATATCGAATTTTGTTAAAATATAAACTTAAAATGCTCATGCGAAAAATTTGCTTACGTAATTTTGATATTTTTTAATGGTTAAAACAGCTCACTAAAGATTCATAATATACAACAATGCCAAACTATTTATTGATGAAAAAAAATATGATAAACATGAATAAATAAATTAATTAAAAAGGTGAACATTTCACGTCTGAATAGTTCAAAAAGAATCAAATATTTTGATTATTTTGAAAATATTTTTGTACGGTTATTTTTTTATGAATTAGAACAAAATTTATTTTGTTGAAAAATTATTGTGTTGTATTTTTCCGTTTAACCATTGCTTTTTGTTCATATTCCTGGTTATTAAGAAAAGTACTATGAATTTCTTATGATTTTAATATTTTAGAATTATATGAACAATAAATATTTTAAAATTAATAAGAATACTCCATAATATACACATGAATTACTCCATTCTATTTATTTTAACATAAAAATACACTATAACTACTGACTAAAATAATAATACTCAATAAAACAACTTACCTGGGTACTTAAAAGTCGTTGAGAAACTTCGGTGATGTTAATCACTGGCTAAAAATATAACAAAAATTTCGGAAAATATGATACCGGGTGGTAAGAATTTTGCACTTTGTAGGTATAGAACGAAATAATACTTTCACTGTTGAAGGTTTGAATCGTTTTGCCAGGAACTGTCGTAGTGCAACTAGAACCTTCGTCCTACTTTCCACCTCAACACCAACCACTACTAATAAAAATACGCCTTATTGGTACTTATCTGTCTACTTGAATCGTGTATTAAGCAATACTTAGCCGATTTGATTAAGCCTCGCATGCTGCTATACATTATTTTTTACAACACTATGGTGCTATATTAGTTTAATGATCAGCGGGGTATTACAAATAGTAGCAACGCTGTATTATGCACAAATTCATACGTTCAAATATTAATTCACATTTTAATATTGAAATAATAAGATAATCGTTTACCTATTTAATAAATCCTTGAAGTTAGTAATAACTATAAAATCATTATTATAACAAAATATCAATATATAGGTTTAATCATTCGTTTTTTATACCCATGTTTATTAATAAATAAGTAAACAAAAAAATCGATTGTAAACTACAGATACAATTTGTGGAGGTTATAATAAAATTATTTTAATATAACCTACATTTTTCAATTATTGAAAATGTCCATTAGTGTTATAAACTTATAAGATATAAATTAATTTATTATAACAACACGTACATAAAGTCGGTTGTTAAATTGAATAACATAAAAAAATTCACTTTGTTCGATATACGAACTCTATAATAATATGCACGATACAATAGGAAAAAAAAAAAAATTCTATACAAATACTAGTAAATATAGATATTTGATATTAATATTTATAGGTAAAAACAAACATAATACATAATTAATCGTAAATATGTGCAATTGACGTTATCGTCATCGACGATATAGGAGCACATAGAACTATAATAGTATATGTTCGGCCTTGTTGCATAATCAAGTGCCTTGTTATCGCGATCTGCGATACTGTTGTGTAGTATGTTTATACGAGTACGTATGCAATTATATTTGAGTTTAAACTAAGATCATTGTTCGGTATCAAGGTATCGAGAAGAAATAGTACTATTCACATCCACAGTAAAAAAGGATCTAATACGGACAGGTCGAAATTACCTATCTTTTTGCTGGGGCTTTAATAATTTTATTTATTGAGAGTATTATTTGTTAAGACAAATAAATAAATTAATTAATTAATTAATATATACATTTTTATTATTTCTTAATGAAATATAAACATTGAGTATATTGCTTTTTTGTACTTCGAAATCAATCGTAAAAAAATATTTTGATCCAAAGATTTTCATGAATATCCAAATAATTGTATTATTAATTTATTTTTTTCATTTCTCATAAAGTATTTCGTATTTTATTGAAAATGTATAATAATATATTATATTAGTAGAACATATTTAGTGCCAACTTCATGTACCTGATTAGTATATTTACATTTTAGTTACGACTTTAAAAGTCTTGTGCAAGTAGTTTTTACAAATATTATATTTGTAATTAATTATTAGCTATTTATTTTAAAAATATCATAGAATAGTATTATAATCTAATAAAAGAAAACTAATTATTCATCAAGTACATTAATGAATGTTGGTCCTCTGTCTAAATGTTGTTGTTGTACATTATATCATATATTGCGTGTTATATTAAAAACTTTTCTATAATGTTCTATTATTATCATAGGTTTAAGTCTATAATTTTAATTAACACTAAGTGTACTAGAATATTTTATTTTTATTTTTTTTTTCGAAATCTAGTTAAAAATGTCTTAATCTTATAACACATATATACATACATAAATATATACTGATGTAATTTATTCTATAATAAATATAGCTTCTAGGAGTTACTTAAATGCTAATAAATTCTTAACAAAAAAAAAAAAAAAAAAAATCGCATACGTCAGTGTTATTAAATATTAATTACAATCATGTAACAATTTATAGCTATATACCGTTTATAATAATTTATCATATACCTACTACTGCTAAAACATAGTAATTTTGTCTTGAATAAAATAAAATTGCTAATATTTGTTAAAAATGTATGTTAATATTTAAGTTATTTTTTTATTATGTAAAATATGCAAGATTTTCATCATTGATTTAACAAAAGTTTTTAACACTTTCAAAATATTGAGTATGGTAATTATTAGTTTTACTCTAAAGTTAATATTTTATCGAAAATTAACGTGTATTGATTATTAGCCATTAATAAACGTATCTCGCCACTGATAATAACGAAAGAAAAACAGTATACCTACCAACCTATATTTTTATTATGTAAGGTGTATATTTAGTTCTCACTATGAAATATTTGAATCTAATTGCTCAACTTTTAATACGTTTATAAAAATTATATTATTTATTATAACGGTTTAATGTACTCCATTTACTAACACCTATTTTAAAATAAAAATTACTTCCATTAAAAGAATATGATCCAAAACCTCTAAATATAAAAGAAAAATAATATTTTCAGAGTCAATAAAATACGTAACAAGACTTTCAATTAATAATATAAGTAGAGATGATAATTACAAGGTATTAATAAAATACTTATTTAGTCTAAATTGAATGAAATAAATCTAAGTAAAAAATAACGTATACAGTTAATAGTATTAAGTATTAATATTGACTTAAATCAAAAAGAAGACAAATAAATTAGGTATTTTTTCAATTTGGGTTTGAAAAAATATTTGTTCGTATTTGAATCACGTATATAATAATAATAATGGTAGAAAGGCGATGTGATGTAATCCATATAACCATAATATCGTATATATAAAATAAAAATGTTAACTGATAACGATAAAGACATAATCAATATTAATGTACATATGTATTTACTATTTATATATTTCAAATATGTAATGTAAGTACATTATCCTCTAATATTTTAACAAAAAAAAAAAAATAAATAATGTTGATTTAAATTAAAATTATATGTTATTCACTTCCGAAAAGTTTTATTTTGAGAATTATTTCACTTGTACAGTGAAAGTAAATTACCGTATATTATAAAGTCTATACACAGCTATTAAAACGCCCAATGGGTGATAAATGAAGATTTAATTTAAATTTGGACAGTTAAATAAACAATAATATTATGGTATACGTTTAATGAATTAATTATGCTGTGTATTTTAATTATTTATCGTTTAAATAGTATAATAATCAAGTAATTCAATACTGCATATTTGCATAAAAGATTAACATTTATTAATAAGTAGTTTAAAGATTAAAGTTAGGAAAAACCACAAACGAGTTTGACAAAATCGTTTATAAGTTAAAGTTGGTACATTTCTAAATATAATTTTCTATGCGTATTTCAACTTTCAATTTTGTTCGAGTAAAGTTCTGCGTAAATCGCAAAATAGAATATTTAAATCGATAAATACTGTAAAAAGTGTTAGAAACCACTTCAAAAATACGATTATATCGTAATATAAATAATGATTACACATTATAGGTACACGATTACATAAAATTCAATAACTGATTAAATTTTTACAAATATTTAACTTTTCTGTAACATTTTAATTACTGTAATAATAAATAAATTGAGTATTTATTACAATGTCTATAATTTCTAATTACTTATTTTTAATAATTTGGTAGGAAAATTATTTAATTATTTGAAGTAAAAATTAAATTTAAATAAAAAAAGTTAGTAAATGCTTTTTAATTTAATATTGTTTATATTAATCTATATTATTTAAATAATTATATATTATATAATCAGTTACTACATCTATGAATAAAATATGCATAATTAAAATATTAGATTTTTGGAGTACCTAAAATTAAGTTTAACACTTTGTAAAATACTCATGTCTTAATTTGTATTAATGTTTTTGAATATTTTACCTTTTCTAAATAAAAATTTGAATTAAATTCCTAACCTATAAAAAAATAGTGCATAAAACTATTTAATTGTTTTCACTGCACCGACAAATGTCATAAAAATATATTTTAATTCTCTCTATAAAACAAGTTGCACAATAAATAATATTTTTATTATATATTATAATAATATTATACGAGACTCTTTTTTTATATCTTGTGGCTAGTGAGTATATACTTAAAAGTACTCGATACTGTTATTATTTATTACTGATTGATAAATTGTTAATAAAAAAGATGTATTTAAATCTTAGCTGATTAACATTTTTAAAATTATAATTATTATGTTATACATTTTTTTGATTAACAACAGGTAAATTATGCTATATTATTTAACATTACTTGTGTTTGATATTTATACACGATTATTATTGTTTATTTCACCATACTTAATTGTGTCACTTTCCTTTGAATTATTTCACTTTCATCTTGTTATTTTGGTAGTTGGCCAAAAAATATACAATGATTCAACACCAGTTTTTGTGACTCTTAAGGTCATTTAACTATACATGATGACGTTTTGTTAGTGATTTAATTATCGTACAAATTCGTGACTACGTGTATCAACGCCCTCTGGATTACAAAACACAATAAAATTACATATTTATAAATTGACTATAATAATCTATATTACGTAAAAAAAACAATATTTTTTTATATAAGTATAAATCATAAATTTCAACACTTATAAAAAGTAAAAAAAAAAAAAATAGCTTAAATGAAATATAATAATAAACAAGACCTTTTTTTTATTATTAATACAAAAAAAAGAATAGCTACATTCTAAATTTTTGTAGCAAATAATGACTAAAAATTATTACTTATCAATTATCAGTATGTAGATATATATTGTTTTTATAAGATACAACGAAAAAATTGCATTTTTGTACCAAATTTTATAACGTAAGTTCCAACTTGCACATAATATACAACAGTATTCTAAAAGTACCTATTAATTTTTATTATACTACAAATATAATTATATAGATGGTGAGTGGAAAAAATAATTTCTTATTAAAAATGATAAAAAGTAATAAGTAGCTACACATTTTTTATTTATTTATTTATTTATTTTATTGATCTTATTAAATTTAAATTCGGCAACTAAAGCCATTAGCTATGGATAGGAACAGTAAGTTTTTTGTGTAAGGTTTGTTTTTAAACTTTGGTTAGTACAGTTGGAACACATGTGTGTATGTGTGTGCGCCATGGATTCGTCACTAAGAACTCGGGTGGTCACCCATCCGAGAGATAGCGATGCCGGCCGAAGATTGACCTCAGAACACATTAATGACTGAGGCCAACCACCGCGCCACACTTCTTTTTTTTATTATTATTTATTTGTATACTTTTAGGCTATTCTTATTTGATACTTAATGTGACTATGTATTTTATTTAAAAAAAGTATTAAGTAAGTGTAATATTTGATCTACAATATATTTATTTAAAAATATGTGAAAAATGTTCAATATACGAACAATAATACCGAACTTATTATATATTTTTTCAATTATTAAGACCAATTTAATTATTATCAAACTACAGGGCTTAACATTTAAATTATTTTGATATGTTAATCATTATTGAATCAAGGAAATATCAGTAATTATTCAATAGTAAACCAATAACTATTATATTATATGATAATCATTTTATAATATTAAGAAAAAGTAATTAAGTTATTTTATACATTTACGAAAAAAAAGTATTTACATAGCACTTAAAATAAAATCATTTCTAACAGATACCTGTGCATAATATGAATTTCTCTTAAAAAAAATAATTTTTATTTGTTATTTTATATTATTCTAATAATATTTTATAGAACTTAGAACCCATAGTATTTTAATATACCAAGTATAATATTATAGATTCAAGATTAAGAACTAAAAACGAAGTACTAAATAGTAACTATCATCATTGATTCATAAATAAAAAATACCCAATATTATAAATATAATGTATTTATAAATTCAACAAACAACGCTTAACGCATTATTAACGACATCGATGATAATAAATAATAATAATAGTTAATAGTCGTATAGTGATTAAGGTGTTCTTCGTTCGGTCGCAGTAACTATAATATCAATTTTGAATAAATAAAATTCTAAGTTTAAATCTAACGGAAATAACTGTTACACAAGACAATAGTAATAATAATCAGCTTAAAATGATATTATGTATAAAAATAATGATTATTATTATGTACGTATGTCGTATAATTTTGTGATATTCCGATTCTGACATTGTTCATTTATCCGGTGGCAGCAAATAGTTAGCCAAAATGAAGTTAGGCTGGATTCTAGGTACGTGATTTTGTTCGAAGCTATCTCGATTTTTGTTTTCTGATCCATTTCGGATGCCGTTTACTGGCGTTACTACTATTGGCGTTCTACCTAAAGGATAATATTCCACGTTGTCCACAACTACAGTGTCGTCATTACAAGGACTTTGCGACGGCGGAGGCACTGGTGTGGTTGGTGTTGGAGTTTGAATTACTGGAGGTGTTGGTGAGGGTAGTGGTGGAAGGTATACTGGAGGACATTCGGTAGTCGCGATAGGATGCCAATCGCCGCATGGCTGCCGTGCTACTTGACCACCATTGTCACCTCTCCGGCCGGTCGTTGATGTTTCGCCTTTAGCCGGCAAATAAAAATAATAATGGAATACGTGATGATGAACGCCGGTTGTTGTCACTTCCTGTGGCGTCAATGAAGTGGGTAAAACGCGTGGAGGTAGCAAATTTTGCCGCATCACAGTCGGCGGTGGAGTCAGTGGTTGGTATAGTTCCAGCGGTTGTCGAAACTGAGGTTGATGCACAAAATAACGTTGTGACAGCATCGGTTCTTGAAAAAATGGCCGAAATGCTATTGATGAACGTGTCGGCGAAGAAAACGTATTGTAAAACTGTGGAAACTGACCGGACCACGCTGTCGCCAATGTGATAACCATGGCACTGATAATCGCTAGAACACAGACTATAATATTGTTATTAACACACGACGAAATTCTTAAAATATGCACATGAGTAATTAATATTGATTGCTGTCAAAATGAATATTACCTATAACCTACCTAATACCTGTTTTTACTTATAGAGTTCCTTTTAATCAGAAGTTTAAGTTAAGTAAATTATTTGATATTATGTATTATGTCGCTGTCATAGAATTATGATAGTATAATATAAATATTGTAAATGCAATTAAATTAAAAATAAATATATTGTTGTCTCAAATTGAGAATTTCTCAATTCAAATATGGGGCTGAGTAGACATTTAGTTTATAAATACAAGAAAACTATGTTCCTATAACGTGTTTACGTGTATTTATATGATCACAAAAATACTGGAAAATTGTTGTTTTAAAAATCACAACTACTACAACATAATACCTACCAATAATATATATAATATTAATAAATAATAATTACATACATTTACAGAATATAAATCTAATGAATTTGTAAATAATAAAATAAGCTATAAATATCTATAATATAAAAGTTATACATAATTTGTATTCAGTTGTATAGTTAATAAGTTATTCAAAATTTAAAATTTATAATTATCATAAATATTTATTATTAGTATGCGATTTCAAAAAAGTAAATTTTTATTATTTACTTTTAAGGTTTAATACATTATAATAGTTGCTTGGTTATATTTATACAGTTTATTAACGTTTGATTTAAAATTATTAAGTTTAATGTCCTAAGATAACACACTACATTTTTAAAATGAGTAATATTCAAAAGAAAAAAAATGGATTTATTTTATGCACTCAAATTAATGGTACTTACTACTACTTAGTTTATAATATAATATTAATTATTGTATGTTAAATTATGAGCATAAAAGTTACCACTTTTTGTCAATATTTTATAATTGTCTATATTATGTACAAAAAATGTATGTAAAACATTGTTCTTATAAACATTGAACAATGATTTTTCATCACTAAAAATTTTTTTAAATTTAAAATAAATTAAATAAATTGAATTAAATTACTAATTGAATATTCTATATATCTAGTTTATCAAAATTTAATTATCTATCCACTTAACTAAGAAAAATTGCTGATGCATTTTAATCTTATTTTCAAAATATTTAGTTAATTTGATACATTACACATTTTGACGATATCATGATATTATTTTAAAGATAAACCAATTCAGTCAAAGTTGAAAAAACAAATCAAAGAAAAAAAAAAAGTTGGGATAGCAATTGAAAATAAACTCGGTCCTGTCAAACACACACAACAGATTCAGGCGAATATGTACAAATATATTTTAGGTGGTTTTGTCAAGTATGTGATAGATGTTAAATAAGATAAAACTGTAACGAAATCAAGTTTTTAGAAATGGGTTCAGAACTGAAAGAAAAGTATTTTGAACCCAAACAACAAGAATTTAACCAAATATTTAAACAGAAAACAGAGGTTATAATGAAAAAAATAAATTACCAACTCGAGAAAGATTCAGCGTTTATACGAGCTGAATACAATGACAAATTGTTAGAGGTTACCAAATATCACATGAATAAGTTTAACGTAAGTGTGGACATAAATATTTCCTAAAAAATATATCTTCAATTCTATATTATGATGTAGGTATATATTCAGTCTATTGGAGTATGACACAAGACTATAATACTATTAATATTATTGATAAATACTTGTTTATGATTGGAATAATTTGTAAATTAATGTTCGATTTAAAAAACGTTGAAAAATATTTTAAATGATAAAATATTTATTTTCAAGTTTGCGATAAATTCTTAAATTTTTTGAAAAATTATTTAAGAAAATTAAAATTGTTGTTTGCTGTGCATTGAGTAATAACATTTTACTTTAACTACTCGTTTATTATATAAGGTGTAACATATTTTATTTTTAATCTATTAGTTTATGCATGTTATTTCGACACAAATGTTTATTTCATATTGAAAGTTGCTTTGATAATATAACTAGTTTCAACAGAATAATAAACATAAATATATGTGTGTGTGTGTGTGTATTCATATATTTATTATTTATAGTGATAACTTTAATACTTATAGGTATCTAAATAATATATTATAGACTGACAATAATAATATAAAAGGTATAGAAATATTATTTTTGAACTTTCTTTTTTAGAATATTATTATTTATTCATTAATCACAATTATTGTGTTTTTTAAAAACAAACATTCTCATGATTTGACTTAATTATACCATCAAACATTTCAATAAATAACAATATGGGTAGATATTTTTTAATTCATAGGCCCGAATAATTTAACATTACAATTGTATATCTACACAATATATTACCAACATAATTAAGTATTATTCAACTCATTTTCATTCCAATATCGAATTTTATATTAATAAAATAATAATAATAAATAAATATTTATAAAATTTTATATTTTTTTTTTACCATTTACAATATCAAAATATATTCACAACTTTATTAAGTAAAAGAATTTTTTCATTATTCACTAAGACTTAAGAAATAAGACAATCCTTTAATAAACTTTGATCACCGGGTAACCCCGGATTATAATAATATATATATATAGTAACAAATCTTTACTATAAATTATTGAATAAAAGCGATTTCAAAAAAAAGTGTAGCGTACACCTATAGGTATAACTAGAAGCACAATTAATACTAAATTAACTAGAGAATAAATCTTTTTTATATAGCTATAAGTTAAAACAAGCTATTTCTTATTTTGTGTATGTAAGTGTTTCCAGTTTTATTCTAATTGATAATTTTTACTTTAAACTGTCAAAGTTAAATTTTTAGATAAAATTTGCTTCTAAAAACCACATTTATTTTAAAGTTTATTATTAAAAAAAAAAAATTAGTTAAAAAAAATAAACACCATTTTTTAAACTAATGCATTTATTGCTCGTTTAGAATCTAGTTTAAAATAGTACAATTTGTATAGAATATAATAAATTGATCGTTTAAATTTAAATAATAAAAATTATATTATAGTTTGGTTTTATTTATATAAAAATTACTTTTGCTTTTTTTTTAAATATTTTCATTCATACTTCCTGCCGAAAAAAAATAATTATAATAATGCTTTATAATGTAGGTATTCAATTTTTAGTTAGTACATATTATTATACTAAATAATAACATGTACAATAAATAATATTGGCATAGTTTAAATCTCACTACCACATCACACATACCCATTGATAGTGCTTTTAACTCTAAGATATTGATATCTCAGAAGCGTAAGCTTGGAGTTTGTATTTGATAATTCTTTAGATTTAATCAGTGATGCGTTATAAAAAATTAATAATATTTATTTATTTATTAAAATACAATTCATATTGTAATAATAAAAAAGAAATATTTTCCCAAAACGTTAATAATTATTTAAAATATTGTATATTACGCAATATTTTATTAAACGATAAAATTATTCCCTGTCTTCACAAATTTCTAATTATAATCTTGCAATAATAATACAATTTCGATTTTAAAATAATATTTTTTGATTTTAAATATATGTTTATTACTAAATGTGTGCTGTATATTGTACACACATATAATATTACTAGATTTTTTTTAATGTGTTAGAATATTTCATCATTTCAACATCTTATCTAATATAAATGGAGACATTAAAATTATCCACACTTCTAAATTCGTTTAAATAAAAAATTAAAATATGAATTTAAGTTAGTTTAAATTTAACTAGTTTTGACTTTAAAATATTAATTTCATACAAATTTAGTTTAAACCAATGATCAATTATTATTTATTAATTATTATTTATTAACAAGATTATTATCTAATAATTAGTATAATATATTAATTGATTGATTATAAATTCTTAGTATTATCAATAAATTAAAATAAGTAGATTTTTAAAATTAAAACAAATAATGCGTTTTAAACTTTCAAGTAATGTTATTGAACACTTTCTTCACTTTATCGCAATGTGTCTACTTATTATAATATAACTTTTACTTATATTTTTTTATTATATATATATATATATAAATATAAATTCTATATTTTATAACGTTATATAATGGATGATAATATGATAAAAATAACTTAAAAAGTATCAAGATAAAATAAAAATATTAAATAAAAAATTATCTAAATACAAATCAAAACAAATATTTTAATATTATATTATGGTATGATAAATAAAAATATATATCAAGATAAAGTACCTAAAATACAATATAATTTTATAGATATTTTCAATTTTTCGTAGGTATTGCATGTATTCATAAATAAATAGGTATATTTCATAGTTATTTTAGGTTTATTAATTAATAACAGTTTAACTTACAGACATAGCAATTTTAATAAACCTCGTAGGTATAATCGAAAAATATTGTTTCAGAACTTTGTCGTCTGTATTCAAAATTATTACTTTAATTTAATTTCGAAAAATTAATTGATATAATATAATGTAAATACTATCGATAACATTTATTGAAAAGGGGTATGTCAAAGCACGTATAATATCATATACTTAATATTAGTGTTTGTACATTGATAATAATAATAATAACAGATGTATTTTATGAAAATTTATTATTTAGTACATATAATAAATTTACTAGACAATTATAATTTGCTTTAAACAATCCTATTAATACAAAAGCAAAAAAATAACAATTCGAATTCTAATTAATGATCAATTTAATAATATACTTAATACGTAAGGTGTTATAATATTATCTACTACTTAAACAAAAATAAAAATCACCCATTACCTTTGTTTTCACAAGCAGTAGAATAATATTTTAATTAATAAGATTATCGTTTGGTCAACTGTTCAGTTGTGATCAATGATCGGTAGTCAGTGTTAACTACCTAACATCTGGCACTCAATAGGTATTAACTATACTATAGTTTGTTATATTACTTAATAGTCCAAAAATTATATAGCGACGTGTAGAAATATAAATATCGTAGTATAATAGATTATTATTAATATAAGTAGATCATATCACATCATATTATAATTTATTATTTATATTTTGTACAACTATTGTATCTTATAATAATTATAATTGAAAATAAAAAATTGAATCTAGCGTACTAGTCTCCTAGTGCCATATAAAAATTATATCCTAATTTATTTTCTAAAATTTTATTATTTCAAAAAAAATGAAAAACTTATTAATAATTATAATATAATTTATAATAAATTATTACTATATTTAACCTATGTTAACTATATTTAGAAATGTTTTTAGGAAGCTATATCAACTATTAAGAAGGAATTAAACAATAAATGTGAACAAAAACAAAAACAATTTAAAATCGACGCTAAGAAAAAGATGTTTACAAGTATTGAAAAATCATTAAAATCGAGAGAAATATTCATAAAACAAGAATTCGAGTATTACAAAGAACAAAATTTAGCAGATTTTAAAGAATATTATCGACGATTAATTTTGTCTTATCGTCTGATATTTGAAAAAAAACTAGATGACATGGAAAAAAATCATAGCACAAAATATGAAAAGATAAAACAATCATATGTGCATAAATATAAAAAAATTTTCAAACTAGAGAAAAAGAAACTAGAAGAAAAATTATTATTAGAAAACCTAAGCTTATTATCTGTTTCTGACATAAAAAAAGTCGAAGAATCGGAACCATACATAAAAACAAGTATAAAAAAAAACTTTAAATGTTGAATGAGAAGATAAACATTTCAAGATTTGTAGTTTTAAAATAAAATCTTTACTAAACATTACGTAAAATTAGTGACTTTATCAGAAAAAAAGTAGTAACCAAAAATAAAATGCATCAAAAATCTTATAGAGATTGAATATTATAAAGATGGATCCAAGATGAAAAATCCTCTTCAATTTAATTTAAAATAATAAAAATCAAACAAACTAAAAACAACAATGTATCTGTTTAAAAGTTATTAATTCTATTTTAAAAATATGTATATAAATAAACAATTACTTTATTATTTTTGTGTAATTTTGTAATTTAAAATAATGTATTGAAAAAAATTATTTTAAGTAGGATAAAAAGTATTAATAGACTTTCAATTTTAGTAAACGTTTTAAAAAATAATGCCATTTTAAAACTATGTTACATAATATGTTATATATTATATTGATGTTTTCTTATTTAAAATTTGAAAAATAAGTTAACGATAAATAATTTAGCTTTTTAAAAATACCTAATTGAGTATGTTGAATATAAGTATATTAAAATTTTAATTTTCTATTAAAAATTGAATAATAAGATTATCATATGGGCTATACTATTTGTGTTAAATATTTAACCGCTACAAATAGAAGTAAATGAAACTTTTATAACAACCATCACAAATTTCATTATTCAAAAAAACAATTATAAGCAAACAAATTAAATATACAAACGTACAACCAATTTCCTTATGCTAATTTTAGAAATTAAAAAAATTCCACATTCTTTACGTAAATCATTAACAATAATAATAAAAATATATGTAACTCACTTATTTTGAGAAAAATCATTATGTTAAATCAAAAACCATATGCATGCAATCCTTATTGTTCTTGACCGAATAGCTGTAGGAGCTTCTCTGAAACTGAACTCACTGTGCAAGTCACTTTTTATAGAAATCACATTGATACAATATTTAGGAAAACCATATAAAATAAAAACTTCTTTTGTTATGCAAACCACCGCTCATCATTACAGTTCGTGATCCAAATATCGGTCCTATAGCGTTATTTTTTACACTAGTCCGGTTTTAAGGAGAAACTTGTAGATCACACTGCGCTAACATCGTTAATGGACACTCAAATATGATTTTACGTGATTAATTACTTATTCAATGAGCAACGTTACTATAAACTTTCAATGCACGATTTCTTGAAATAATATAATTATTAATTTATACATAACAAAATATATGCCATTTCTAAAAATATAAAAAAAATTACTCCTACCTTAAACAAAAACAATACGTACAGACTCTTATTATATATGAATGCTTGCATATTAATAATTTTCAATTAGAACGTTCGAGACAACATGTTTTCTTATGTAACGTAATAAATTCACTTATTTTGATGACAAAAACAAATTATTAAACCGTTAAAAATAATGTCTAATGACATATCTAACATTATAAATGTATTTTTTACCGAAATTTATTTAATTTAGTAAAAATGTTTTTATATGATTCAATAACAATGTCTCTGCTGGCATTTAACTTTAAGCTGAAAACTTAATTTCAATAATAATTGCGAGGAAAAAATAAAAATATTAATTTTGTCCGAGTAATAGATTTATGCTTGCCTATTTCATATAAATTTATTGAACTAATTGTTAAAGATACTTTGATATTATAAACGTAAACACAATACTCCAATTTAAAATGAACGTTGTATTTTTAAATAATAATTCAAATAATTTATTGAATTAAATTAAGTAAAATTATAATCTAATTTAGTATTTGAAACAAATACAATATAACAAGGAGTTGAATATCGCCATTTCAAGTTTCAAAATTGATAACCATCGTTTTCAGGATTGTATTGTCTGTTACAGAATTATAGAAAATAAAACATATACAAATATGTACTATGTAAACAGAAAATAATGGAATTTATAAAATGTGTGTAAACATAATATTGTATATAATCCATTTGACAAGACTTTTTGATCGGCCGTTAAATATATTGACGTCACTTCAAAATATTTACATATATAATAAATACAATTTTCTCAACATCATTATCATTGAAAAATAAATCGGAAATATAAATAAAACAATAAATGAGAGTTAATTTCTTTAATGGTTAAAAATAATTTTATCATAATATTTATATTCTAATACTAAAACATATTATACACATCATATTGTCATGGAAATATGACAATTTCACATTAAAATTACATTTGAATGTGTTAAATTAAAATGATTCAATCTGTATATCATTTTAGCGTATACTGATGATTCAATAATATGGACGTTATGGCAATATGAGAGATTAATACAATATAAGCTAACCATGTATAAAAATTGATGCTCCTGCATGCTACCTGCAGGTAGCTAGTTAATTACAATAACATAATATCATTAATCATGTATAAGAGGAATTTGTATATAATTATGCATATTATTATTTAATAATAACATCTTGACATAAATCACTTCGTAGTAAATATGCTTTCATTACTTTATCATAAATTGTATTGTTATCAAACAACTTAGGTATGTAAAAAAATAAAAATTACACACAAAAAAAAAACCAAAAGCATGAAATTTAAAAGGCAAAGGGACACCTCTCAAAAATATAAAGAATAGTTATTGCTATTTAAAACCAAAGTTTAATTATCTATTTTAGCTTAAAAACAAATATTTCCATCATGTTATGACATAACTTATTTAATTTTAAAAACTTTATTTTTATCATTTCAAATCTAATCATTTTTTCTATTATATCGTGTAAACAGAAATATATAAAAAAAAATTAGCAATCCAAATATAAAACATATCATTGCAAAATGAATGCATTAATTGATGCTCCGCTCAGAATCTAAAATAATAGAATAAAAATTACTTTTTATACGTCCAAATAATTTTATTTCCATACTTATCTAAAAATGAGATACATTTTATTAAACTAATAATTAATAAAGCCAACTTGATTACTTTAATTACGTATATTTTAACATTTTTTTGTATGTTTTTATACTATTACCCATCAAACTATATTTAACAGTGTTATTATCGATTAATTTAAGTAAAAATGTATTTTTACATAAAATCCTTTACATTAATTTATTTTTATACTCACTATAAATATTTCATTATTTTAAAATTGTAATTTCAACCTTAAAATATTTTTTTATACGACTCTAAAGTAACATAAAACAGGTACAGCGGTAAAAAATATATTTTATCTTCGCAACAATGATGACAATCTTCCTATTACTTTTCTCAATAAAAGACACAATGAAGCTATAATATGAAAGCTTGTACGATAAAGAAGATCGTATAATATGTACAATACTTTAAAAAAACTATAGTTTACAAGCCATAATAAATTATAATATTTTAATTTTACCACAATTTACAATTTTAATTATTGTGTATTCTATACATATTATGTAGATAATTATAATGTGTTTTCATTGTTTGCTCCTTTAACTAATTACAACCTATGTTTTCTTGTATACTTTGTTATCTAACCTTCAGGAGTCGTTTTAATTATATTCTTTATTCGTTAACTTTAATAATATTTCAGAGTGTAAAATATTAAAAAACTTATATTTTTATTAATTGTATTATTTTAAATACTAAAAATAAATAAATCAAGTGTTTTTATAAGTCAACATAATTTAATACAATATTACACATTCCAGAAACAACAACTTAGTAATACAATTATTATACATCCTGTTTATTCTTATTTTCTACTTCTTAAAATTGTTAATAAACAATAACTAAAACACTGTGGTTGTGGTAATATTTAATAAGTTTAATTTTTTTACACATTAAATACAATATAGTTCAATTTTATTGTGCGTTCAGAGAATTTTTACAACAACTTAAACATGCATAAAATCAAGTAGATATTATTAGTTATATCAATAATAATCAATATACTCGTAATATTTGCTGTAATTTTATGCTATTAAAATTAATTAGAATCAACTCAATATGTTGTTTTATTTTACTCCTACAAATTACAATAGTTAATTTATTTCTCAGCCAATCTTCAATTTATTATATCTTAAAACAGTGACGTAGCCAAGAACCTTTTATGGAGGGGAGGTTCAGCAAATTTAAACTTACCACACTTAACTTCATGATATCGGATATTTATTTTTATCGTAAAAATATAACATAAATGTTGAAACTTTTTGAAAATTTCATTATAATTTCCAAGTCAAAATTCTAAAAATATAAAAATATTAAAGAAAAAATCGTGTTTCATATAAAAGTTAATTTTCCATCTCAGTTTCATAGTGGGGGTCTGCCCCTCCCTAACCACCACATGGATACGCCACTGTCCTTAAAATGCATAAAAAAAAAGTTTTGAAGATTCGCATTACTCTATCACAACTTAAAATGTTTTATTCTAATGAGCGTGGAAAAATATTTATTTTTTTTAACTCGGATACTAGTTATTTAACTAATATTTTAATAAAAAATTAATTTTTTGCATAACTTTTAAGAAAGACAACTATTTCTTATTTTCATAAATTATTTATTAAAATGTATATGTAGTTCACTAAAAATATTTTAAAGTAGTAAATGCTTTAATTAAAATTCAAATTCAACATGAAAAATGCTACTAATAAATATTAATATTATGATTCGTGGTTCAACAAATTAATTAGGTACCATTTTTTTTTCTATAATCGTTTATTTTTAGTTCATTTTAGTTAAGCATAGTACTAATACTATTTATATGCATAATATAAAATCTATTATAAATTTTGGTTTAAAAATATCAAACGAAATATTAAATTGAAAATCTAATTTAGTTTAACTATTTATTTGGTATTGGAAAATAAAAAAAATTTAAAACAATGTTTTCATGAAAATTTTTGATTTTTAAGTTATTTTAACAAATTAATATTAAAAAATATTTGAATAATTTATTATTCAAATATGTTTTGAATAGGATGATTGGTAAGGTTTACTTCAAAAGACAAATTTTTATTATGCTACCAGTAATTGAAGTAGTTATTAAAATAAAATATACGTTTAAAAATCAATAATATTTTATAATACAACTTAAAACTAGATACCTAAAAAAAAAAAATACGTGAGCTCCTAAAAAATTAACTTTAAAATACTTAAAATGTTTTGTTGTGAAAATATATTTCATGCTTTAATGTCGTATTTAAATCATATTTTTTTAAAAAAATAGGTATACTCTCTTAAAATAGTTATAAGTTATTATATTTCAAAGAAATCAAAATTTTACAAATGTTAAGAGTAATGATTCAAAAAAATACAAAATAATAATATTAACGAAAAACGTTTTACTTTTTTTAAATATATACTATTATTTACAAAAAAAAAAAAAATAATAATGATAACTTACAACACTCTTAATACATAAATAGGCACTTTTTGAAGCATTTATATTTTATGAGTAGGTTTAGAGTTTCTGTTTTAGCTCTGCTAGTTTAGGCCGATTATCCAGTGCTAATACATAAGTCAGTGGCAACTCATTTCCAGATTCGTCGTAATCCACTCGGTACAAGTGACGGATACCTTGAGCTGCAAGAAACTGACGCTGTTGTTCGTTGAGTTCGACGGGCGTGGGAACTGGTCTGTTTCCGAGGATAAATCGTTCGTTGAGTTGTACGGAGGACGGTGATGGAGAAGGTTGTACAGTACTGGTAACCGGAGTATTTCTAAACAGTTGTTTCTGACCAACAGACTTGTCGTTTGCAGCAGTAATCTGCGCGCTCGAATCTTCCAACGCTTTAAGTTCAGCGCTGCTCAACGCCTTGAGCTCATGTGGAAATTGCAATAGCTGCAACTGATTTCTGTCCGGTAAATACTTGGTTGTACCAGAACGGTTTCCGCTTTTCGGTCTGGTACCACCTCTCGACTTAGGCAAAGTAGCGACTGTCGTCTCTGGTTGTGTCTGCTGAAACCTAGATAAGAGCGACGTTAAAAAATTATCCGGTTCCACTTCGAATGACTGTTGTTGTTGTTGTTGTTGTTGTTGTTGTTGTTGGTTTTGTTGCTGCTGAGGTTTTTCAGTTCTCACTGCCTGTTGTTGTACTCTACTCAATTTTCTGCTTTCATTCCTGGGCCTTTGATTGGGTTTCTTGGGCCGAGGAATTAATATAACTTGCTCTTCTTCAACTGGATCCACAGTAGTAGTTGACGACGTGATGGACGTGGCGCTGGTCGCGGGATTGGAAGTTACGTCTGATATCGTCTGATAATGGTTATTCTTTCGCGGAATCTGTACTACTTGCTCGGTATCTTCAATCGGTTTATTCATCTGACCATTAGGCTGGATATAAACTACGTTTTGAAGTAGACGGCTATTAAACTGTACAGGATTTACTGCAGCTATTGCTGGGTAATCTACTGTTTGTTGAGTAGCAGGTTCTACTGCATAGTTTATTCTGGGTCTCGAGACAGATCTTTGACCTTTTGATCGACTAACAACTGTTTCCGCTTGCTTAGTCACTGGACCAAATTGGACTTGTGCATATGAAAACGGTTCATCACTTGGAACAGGCACAACGGATTGTTGTTGCGACACTAAATCTTGTTGTTGAGGAGCAAAATTTTGTTGTAGTAGCCCTAAGTTTTGTTGACGTACTTGCCCATTTTGATCTATAAATTGCAGTGGCTGTCGCACCTGTTGTTCGGAGATTGGTGAAGGTTGAATTTGAAACTGAGTTGGAGGTGGTTGGGCTAAAATCTTCTGTCGAGATTTAATTAGCGCTGTTTGCTGTTCAACTAGTGTCCTCCTCGAATACTCTCCTTGCAATCGAATTTGTTCAGCAGTGAATGGAGATATTGTCGTCGTAGTAGTTGGGGGAAATACATCAGATGGTAATCTAAAAATATTTTCTATAGTATTGACAATTTTATTTAATAAAATAAATATTTTTACCCTTGTACAAAAATTTGCTGTTGTATATTTTGTTGTTCAAATTGTGATTGTTCCGGTGCTAAATTGCTATCATAATTTGCTTGTTGAGTATATTCAAAATATTCTTGTGGAATCTAAAGAAAAATTTAAATAAATTAGTTAATTGGCTATTGCTTTGTATTTAAAATATTTTACTTGTGGTTGGTTGAAATTATTATTTCGGAAATTTGTTTGTCTTTTAGAAACACTTGATAAAGTTTCTAATGCAACTTCTTTTTCATTGTTATTATTTTCTGTTGATACTGATAACACACCTAAATAAACATATTTAATTATATTAATACCGATTAATAAATATTATTGATAAAAAAAAGTGGGAACTCGTTTGGTTACATAAAATGTGTCGAATTTCCACTATCACTGAATAAGTATTTAATTTAAAGTCTTAAATATCAAAACTGAAAATTATATATATTTTATAAAATTTTAAAATAATTTGTACATTTCGTGGTGTTGATGTTTTTTTTTATTAAAATTTGAGCTTCAAATGCTAACGAAATTTTAGCATACTTTTAATATTTTAAAATCTATTTAAGTACAACTTATGAAAAACCTTCTATTAAATTTATAGAAATTTTGGTTAAGCATTTAGCTTAAGTATAAATAAAAAACCTAATGTTTCAAAATATATCCATTAAATAGCTAAATAAGAATCAAATATTTTGAAAACTATACCATCTCTAAAAAATAATAATTTTAAAAATAATAATATGTTTATATAATCAATGACAATATTTTAAGTCAAGTATTTACGGTTATTTTTTTTTTTAATTACAACAAAATATAAATATCAACTATTCTCGAAGTTAATATTCCCATTTACCTACTTATTTTATTAGCTTTTATCGATTAAAAAATTACAGAAAATTTTTCATTGTCGAACCCACAAAATAGTAAATACCAACTAAATATAATGTTCTACTAGAAACCATACTCAACATTTATGATCGAAACATGTTTAGTTTATTAAGAGCTAATTTTATATATTTACAATTTTCAATTTGTTTCCTATAAATGTTATTTTTTATATATATAATAACATTTTTAAATACTTCCTTTGTGTTTTTTTTTTTTTTTTTTTTAATGTTACTAACATCTTTTAGAGCGTGTCAATAATTATATGATATGATATTATAATAATTAATAATATAATGTAATGTAAAATAAATAAGTGATGTTGAAGCTTAAACTTAAAAATGTTTGCTATTACCTACGTATAATCTTATTAAAATAAACATAATAAAATTTGTTCTTAGCAACAATAAGTTCAACTTATATTTACTTATAAAAAAATAACTTAATAAAAGCAAAATAAATATTATTTTAAATTTCAAAATATCCATAGAAATATAAGCCACAGACTGTGTCCGTACAGTATCGTTTTTCGTATTCAATCATATATTCATTACCTACTCAGTAACGAGGTATATTCGACACCTACTACAATACATCAGATTGACTTCTCCTGATTTTTTATAAATTATGTCTCATATTTTATTTCTAAAAATAATATTAATAATAATAATAATATTTTATTAAAATTGTATTTATATACGATTGTTGGTTTTATTTACTAGGAAAACGAAATTACGTTTTAATTGTTATGTGAATGTCGATCATAGTTAGTTAATGTGGTTTTGTAATAGTTGGACGGGTTCAATTAACCGTAATAATTTTTAAAACCAGTTTTTTTTTTCTGTACATGCGTTCACACTCTATCCTCTACTGTCTGATTTTTTTTTCCTTTGCATTTGTTACACGAAACTAATCACATGACAATGACACACTGCAGATTATTGGGTATTTGCGTGTAATATAGTCGTGTCGCGCAACCTAACCTGACCCAGTTTTTGATTAAATACTATTTTTATAATATACATTTTGTCGATCTCGTTCACAGTCAGACAGGATAAATACTAAATAGAAAACACATGGTTGCCTCTCGACCTCTTCTACGTGTGAAAATACATCGTTTTTCACCGAATGATACTACCTTCAGAAACGACCAAAAGACAAAGCAAACTAATTTTATACCTACCCACCCGTTCCGTATTTCCCTCATCCGATCTCACATGGTAATAGAATGTGCGTTGTTTACACCGTTGTCGGTGTTTATACGACGGTCGCTGTACACCTCAAGTATCACTTGACCTGTTATTCGAGCCCCAACAGTACCTATTTATTATTATAGACGCCACAGCTCTCACCTTGTGTAAAAATGAACTTTTTAATGTTTACAACGTTGGTTGTAGTGTTGGAGCGTCCTTATATTAGAAGACGCGCGTGTGCGCCGTACAAAGTCATTCGATTTCATCGGCGACCGAGTTTGTGCAATATGTTAGGTATTCGGATCGAATCATTTGTTTTTAACAATGCATAAGTATTAAAACGTACATACAACTGCGGTGATGTGGTTTAGACAATAATATACATACTCTGTACTCCACATTGCAGACACATACCCGCGCACGCGTATAACATTATTTAATCTCTGACGTAAGCATTTTAGAAACGTATAAATTATACATTACAGTGAAAAGTTTTCTTGAAGGTTTCTCCCACCCTTTATTGTGAATAATCTACGCATTAATATTTTAACTATTTTTTTTTTTTTTAGTTTTTTATTAGTTAATTTATCGTGTGCGTTTTTACGCTTATTTCGTAATCTTTTTACTAGCAAAATATATGTATAAACAACAAGAACAACTTTCAAAAGTTGAATAATATACAAGATATCTACAATCAATAAAATATTATTTTGTTATTTCAACAATAAAAACTACTACGGACTTACTAATTTGCCCAAAAAATAATTATGAAATATTATTACGATGGGGTAATTAGTATTGGCTAGCAGGTACTCAATAAATCGTGTCATTATTGTGGTAGATACCTACTAAAAATATTTTTCAATGTGATATTTCTGTGAAAATCATTTCTATTACACATGCTTGTGGATTTGCTAGACTTCAGGAAAATTAAGGGTACTTTCTATAAAATTAATTTTTGAAAATACTTATATCTTATTTTTTTAAGTAGAAACATTTGATAAAAATCAATAAAATAATATTAAAACTTCCAAGTATCATTAAATAATAATGCTATGATATTTTATATATAAATATAAATGCATATTAAATAATTAGTTATTATATATTATACTCTCGTAAACTGATTATTATTCAATATCTATATATTATAATTGGAAGTAAAAAAAAAAGGTTGAATTTTATACTTAATCACTAAGGAAATAACACAGTGATTCAAAGTTTAATTTCAAAACTAATTATTTATAAAATTCTTACAAAAAATGCGCTACCAAAATATTCAATCCAAACATAGTTAAAAATTGAATTTTTGTTAAAATAAAATTGTATTTCTGTTAGATCATAAATAGAAACTTTAGTTTTCATAATTTATTATATAGTTATGTTCATGGAAAGTAAAATTTTTTTAAAATTTTTAACAGAATACATACTGTTGGAAATTTTAATATAAATAGAACTGTAATTACTTAAAAATGTTAAATTTTCAATCATTATTAACATAATTTCGAAAAATTACTCACGACTTATGAAATCTCTATCAAACACTACAATTAATAATCAAATAAATATTATTTTAATGCAAGAATATCAAATAAATTTAAAAAAATAATTCAAGACACAATTAAATAAGAGTTTACTGAAATTTATTTTATTATTATTAATAAGTGATGTCAAAAATTACGATTTTTACTAAGCATCTAACAAAATAATCATTAAGATTTAATTATTTAAAATCATTTAATTAGTTTAAAAAAAAAAATGAACTTAAAGTATGTCATCGATTTTTTTATAAATAATGAAACCATTGATAAAATAATTTTACTTTTAAAATTTAATAGTATTCATTTTCAAATTTTCTACCTTTACTCTAGATAAATTTAATGTATAGATAGAGTTTATTTAAACAAAAGTGTAATAGGTAATTGTATTTTTTTAAATGTAAACTATGAAAATCAGCTACGTCATAATCCCTGCAATCGAATGTTATTATAAAATAGTACCAATTCGTGATTACTAAATAAAACTATACCCAAATTTTCGATTAAAAAATAAAACAACAACAGTTTACAAGACTATCTGATATTAAACGTCAATTTATTCGAACATTTTATCAATAAGAAAGCCAAATAGCTATTATTGCCTTTTATAGTCATTATTTTCACTCCTTCCGCCGTATAATAATAATTATAAACATATTTTATTGTTTGAAATGTCATGGTTTACAATTTTATTTTTGGTAGAATATCATTTTAATAGTAATATCATAGCAACAAAAATACGAACGTATATTAACAGTGTACAAGTTGTCTTACCTCCATGTAGAACTGCAACCATCAACACTAGGCATACAGATACAAACTCCATGTTTATACCATATAAACGGCCGTCCTGTTTGCGTTTCAGCGAATCACTGCGTCTCGCGAGTCTTAGGGCTTAGAAGCCATATCACCGCGACGGTTAAGAGAGTACCACATGATCTCCGACCCGGCCTAGACCAGCATATTATCTACGATTGCATAATCTCGACATTAAAAACCTGTTACGTTTTGCTCACGAACTCAAAAAATGCTAAGGAAAGTGAAAGCCGACTGCACTGCATACGGAATTACACTAGTTCTCACGACGGGGTGATTGGGTTATTCGAACGAAAACAAAACGCAGCACTGATTGTTTAATAGTCCTACTTGATCGTGCAGTAGATGATCATTAAATAGCAGACACTAAAGTAACTAAAATATAGGTATATTATTGGCTGGTTAATACCTACGACGTACACGAAGTATATCATAAATATATTTCTTGCCGAGTAACTCAAACATTACTATGAACCGTTTCATAGTTGTTAATGTTTTGGTTCTACCTACCAACCATATATATTAAATTGATAGAGTAAAGGGATGTGTTTATGACGTATTTATATATATATAAATATATTATAATATATAACTATGTTTTGGTAGTAATTTTGTAATAGTCAAAGAACATATTTATAAGAATAATATAAAAATGTATTTTATCAGTAAAATGTTATTGATAAGTACTAGGTAGATGTTTCACGGTAAGCAATAATACATATATGATAAAACTGATAATACGAGTACACAATATTTAATAATAATTTATAGTGACTTACACCCTAATGTTTGAAGTAGAATAGCCGAAAATCAAAGAGAATGGAGGTTATATAAGACCTGTTGAAGTGTCGTGGATGCTTCTTAATTCTACATAAAAATACCCTCATCATTCGATCTCTGAATCCTGTCTAGATAACTAAACATTTATTACATATTATATTTAACCATCATATTAAAATTAGTCAGAGATATTATCAACAAAAATTGACTTACTTCACAAGGACAATTTGATATTTTTTTTCTCATTATTAGTATAAGTTTAAACATATAAAATAATTCTGCAATATGAATTAATTATCTTTATACTCTTACCGTTAAATCCTAAATATTTTCACATGCATAACAATAATATAATAAGTAATATATAATATAAAGAAGTTTTCATTTAATTCGTTCCAGGATGAGAAACACTGTAAAATACTAATTATTAATATACAATAGACATTGAATATTATAACTAAAATTACATAGATATGTAATTTTATTAATTTTATTTACAAAAATTATTACAATGAATAAAAATTCAACAAAATATTTTAAGGTTATAACTTATAAACAATTGAAATTTTTCATTTGATTTTTCTCATGGAATAATATTTTATACACAACATATACTAACGTGTTTCAACTAACATTTGAACTCCTACCGTAAATTCGATTTAACTATAGTCTTGACATATAACAATATGAAATCTACAAAATAATTATGGGAAATTTACTCTGATGTATATACTACATACGTATATGAAGTATAATAGGTGTTAAATGTACTATGTGTTCAATTTTCAATTCAATAATAAATTACTGTATACTAACAACGATTCAGAGCATATAAAAATGATATGTCTGCCTCTAATTCTAAGAATAATTTAAAATGTTGTACTTATACTTACTACCTACTATAATTAATTTCTATTTCTATTAGTAATATAATAAGAAAGAGAGTAGGTACTCATTTGTGTCAAAATACCATTTACAACTTAAAATGAATACTATAGATTTAAGTTTGAATTTATTAGAAATTCTTTTTATAGAACCGAGTAAAATGACATAATATATAAGTGTGTAAAATGTATATTACACATATACCTATACTATATATGTATTATAATCTATAGACAAAGTTTTATTGTTAAGACCTTTATATCACATTATTGATTAAAAGTTAAATTTTATGTTCTATTACCTAATTATTAAATATACCTACCATTCATTATTGAAATATTGCTATACCTAAGTAATAAACAAAACTGATGCGTTTTTTTTTTTTTATACAAAGCTAAGAATGACATCTAGACCTTTTGCTGCCAACGCCAACATTTCACTCTTCTCTATTATAAATGTGATTTAGATCTGAGATACATTAAGATAATTTTATTGTTAAAATATTTAAAGTTAAAAAAAATATCTATTATCTATCTTTTTATTCAGTATCATTTAGGCATATTCACATAGTTATTATCAGGAAAGAACTTATCTACATCAGTTATGGTATTATAGTTAAATGTACTTCAAACTTTCGACTAAACTTTACACCAACGGAGACTGCGACAAAGATGGGCGATAAACTTACAAAATTCTCTGTATTCCTATCTATATTTCTCAATCAGACACGAAATCATATAAGTCTATTAAAAATTTTCAAAGTTATTTAAAATTTAAATATTTTGTATACATTGTAGTATTTTATGTAATGATTATGCATATAATTTGAACTTCAATAGCCAATATTACAAAGAATTATAAAACAAATACAATAATTGTTATGCACAAACGAGTTCCTTTAGGTATATTTTTAAGTCACATTATATGTTTACTTTATTTATTTACACTACTTTTCACTTATTTTATCCCAAAATAATCATTGGTCATTAATATTTAAGTGACAACATAAAAATAAATGTAGGTAAGTAGGTATATAGTATAACACAAGTTTACAACATTAATCAAAATTGTATGATTTTATTTAACGTTAACTATAATGGGTGATGAATTATAAATTGATTATAAAATCAATGATAATACATTAATTAATACGTATTTACATACGGGTATATACTGGATAATAAATAATAATTAAAATAAGGTAAAAATGTTGCTCCTATAGTTGAATATATCATCAGAATAAACATATAAATTATAACATTTACCACGTATGTAATGTATGTAACATACTTAAAAAAAAAAAAATTTTAAATAAACGTAACACTTGGAAAGTTATGCATATTTTAGAATGTCAGCACAATAACATTAAAATGACCGACTTTAATTCATTACAATTAAGGTAAGAATAACGATTCCGCATTCGATACTATTCGTAACTAGTAAATAAACGTACTCATTCAATTTAATCAAACATTTGATTTATATATTCTTAGTTCTTAAAACTGAATCCTTATTAACATATTATGTATTTATTCATAATAATAAGAACATAATATGTTTATTTTCTATCAATTTTAGTTCAAAAAAGTAAATTAAATATTAGTTGATAGAAAAATTATGTGACTTAAAGGGTACTAGAAAGTAACTTTCATGGAATAATAATATCTAGGTTTTAATTACCTACTAATTTTTATATTATTATTACGAAATCGTGTTGGTTTTAACATCAAATCAAACAATAGACTTAATTCGGATTCATCTTTGGAACAACATTCATTTTCATACCTACTGTTCGATGCATATTATACAATTAGTAAACTAAACAATGCATATAAATACCATCAAGTTACTTGCATGGACTGTATCATTATATTTATTCAAAAGTAACATTATTAATCCTATAATATGCTACCTTTGTTTGTTTTGTTTTTCACGAGAAAATATCAATTAAGTAATAATTTTATAAATTGTATATGTCTATATTATAATGTTTTATACAATATTCCTTATTGTACATTAAAAATTAAAAAATTGAATAATAAAATTATACAGTAAATACTTATAAAATACATAATATTTTAATACATGCCTTCTAGTAACACGTTTCCAACATTAATTTTCAATCCTGAAAAAACTATAGAAAGTATAGCAGTATAATGTAATACATCGATTACAACTAAAACATAATACAAAAAGATACCAACTCTATTATGTACCTGTACGTGTGTATATACTTCATACAAATACACTTCAACGTGCATACATATGTATATAAATATAAAACCTGAATTTTAACTTAAATCAATTAATATTACGTAAAAAATAAAATCATGATTAATTATTAGTCAGGAAATTTATTTTTTATTTATTTTTCAAAAATATAGACTGAGAGAACTGAGTTTGTTTAATCAAAGAGTTCGAAATTTGTAATAAAATTTATGTTAGATATAATTTGTGTAAAAAGTTATTTTAGGTAAATTTACCCAAAAAAAATTACTAAGTAAATAATAATTATTAAATACTTAATGATCTTATATTAATTAAAATATAATTGTTTATACATCGATTAACGTCGATTTTTTTTAAAATAGCTAAGTATACAATATTAAGCTAACAAACTTAAAATTATTTATAATTTACAAAATCCTTCATTTTTCAATATTTATAGACAAATATCGGACTAATTGTTTTAATTTATTGTATATCTATATTTTTTTCATGCAATAATCAATTCGTAACTTATTTTTTTAAGAATTTTGAAAAAGCTATTTTATTTAATATCTCATGGAAATATACTATACATTTTTGCACCTACATTGTACATTAATTAGGTAGATTGTATGAGTTTTCTATACACGGTTGATATAGTTATATTAAACAACTGTCCAATATTATTTTTATGTTTGATTGTAAAGGTAGGATAACTTTTAATAATGTTAAATAGGTATAGAAGCTTTATAGGATAATTGGTTATTTTCTGGTAGTGATATTTTGTGCCCTTTTTTAATTCTTTAGAATAATTTTTTATATTCTAATTTGTATTATTTTTTATATGTTTTTAGTAATTTTACATATACATTATCACTATATTTTATACAAAATAATTTAGTAAGAACTAAGAATGTATACTATATAGATAATATTCAAATTATTTATTTAGTTTATATCATGTATTTTAAAGAGCATGAATAATATGGTAATCCTTGAAGGTATACCACATAATTGGTTAGTTAATACATATTAAGGTATTGTCGTGTTCGATATTTTTAGATTAATAGTGTCTAGGTTACAAATAAACCTAATTAATAAAACGTTATTTTTTACTACCGTCCAACGTGAATAAGTTGTTGTGAGCTTATATTGTATGATAACCTAATACGTATATACTTTTTACAACAAAACTATGTCCTATAAGATTATTATTGTTAATAATCAACGATTAAACATCACATATTGTATTAATAAGTGCGTCATATATATATTCATGTCAATATTATACTACGA